AACGATAATATACTAGATAATAGTGATTGGATTTTTTTTTATATTATTATTCTCATTAAATAAATCATGTTAGGTTTTAAGAATCAATATAAATTAAACAACCTATTTATAATATATTATACTAATGTTTAATTCTAAATATATAATGTCACATCAGTATAAAATATACGAAGATATACTTAACCCATAGTTAATAATCTTAATAAACCATTCACTATATATTTTGTATATAAACATAAACGTATCATTATTAATCGCATTTTAGTTAGGTATATGATGACATGTATCTCTCTTATTTGTAAAGAAAATAATGAATTTACCGGCATAAATGTTTTCATGTAGGTTATGAATGGAAATTAATGTCGTTATTTTTTATTAAAACGTTTGCTAAAGCCGTATTTTCAAAGAGAAAATATTATTGACGTTTATTCAAAAGACATTTTATGGACGTTGTGATGTGTGTGTTATACGGTGATAATTCGATAATATTTAATTGGACGTCGTTCGTACGCACTCGATCGCGACCAACGACGTATCCGTTGACAACACCATTGCTGTATGGCAAAATTTTTATTTTTATTTTTAACATTTTAATATTGCCGTTGGCATAGTGGCGTAGGGGTCGTGGCACATTCAATAACATARAAATAAGTTTAAAACTGACAGCGCTCTGGCTTTGTAGGTATTAACAGCCATCTTAAGTCATAACCATATTTTATCGACATAACGTTTTATCGTGTGATTGAGAACTGAATATCCTACGAACGTTTGAAAACTGTCATTAACGTGTGTCCGATCAACCGTAATTCCAAAAAACGTGTATCCATCGTATCATGTGGGTATAAAAGAGATTAATCTGGATTAATTTAAACGTCACTCGAAAACTATAATTGTGGCAACATCAGRATCACCAAAACACACGGTTAACGTCATAATATTCCTCTTCGAGAGATTCAATCAGTGGAAATTCGGTCACTACAACTGCCTGTGCATCACGGTATAATACAATATATTATAATATAATCAATACGCCTTCACTGTTAGTTATTTGGTAGGTGTTATKAAATACGTAATAACTCGTAATCGGTTATTATCGTAATAGATTTTTAAACATTTTTATTATTCGTCGGTTGTCAATAATATAACACCAGGTACATTATGTCCCGTTTCTGGTAGAAGACACACATTTGTGTCACGACGTGAACAATTTGATTGAGCGTTCAAATATAATCCAAGTGTAAAATAATAAAATTAATGCATAAAAGTACAACTCATTAATTTAAATAAATATGGCATTTATTATTTAAAATAATAATTTATGAGTTTATAGTAATATCAAACGCGTATAACTAAAATACTAAGTATATTTAAATATTCGTCACATAAATAGCTAGTCTTTGGTAACAAAAAACCAACTCTTTGGAAAATTTACATCATTTACTTTCCAGTTTTAGTTCAAAACACATAAATACAACATTATCTTCGGTGCCTATGTAAGTCTTATAAAAACGAATCGATCAGTCTATTGAGGTATAAGAAACATTTTTTTTTTTATTGAAAATTGTTAATAAATATCATCAATTCCCAAAATAAAAATATACCTATATATTATATTATATATTATTATCTTTCTATAAATGTACCTAACATAGTATAAAAATACATTTTTAATCAATCATAATTCATAAAGTAATGGAATGGCTATCGTGTCTAAATCAAATAAAACGAGTAAAATATGTTTTGGCCATTATGATSGAATCAACAACGTTGATAACTTTCTTTAAAAAAAAAACTTTTTCACCTCCCGTCTTCTCCAACTGTGRCTGTATTCAAAGGTTCGTGCGAAAAGTTCAAAGTACCTTTAAGTTTAYTTTTGGTTTACACGTTTCTTTTTTGTTTTGGTCTTATAAAGCATCTCGGCATAGTTCCCTTTCTCACTCTTACTAAAACTACGCTGGAGCCACAACTTCAGTGAAAGTAAGTTTTCTACAGGAACGCGTCAGTGCTAAATTGCGAATGAACGATGGGAATATTATTGCGGTTTTCACCTACATATGATAATGTGTTTGCCGAATTCGTTTCCAAATGATAACATACAATATACATATTATATTATAATATACCTAACGATGTTGTAATATTATAAATCATAACGATTAATGGTTAAAAGTATAAAAATAAAAATCTTAACGAATATAAAAATATGATATGACACGTAACAGATTTTGATAACAGGTTATTCAATATTTATGATAGTAATAATTTAAAAAAAAAATAATAGCACGCAGATCATAAATCTTCTTTGATTTCTTTTCGTTCGGACGCAGRCTCGTCGTTCGTCACCTGCACGGTCACGGAGTCTTCGGTGTCGCTAATGTAACCTTCGTCAGACGTATAACGGATGGGATAGATGAGCAGAGGAGACGCAGACAACGCGATTAAGTTACGTTCGTCGAACTGTTCCAACCATTCGACCCTGTAACAATAATAGATTATTATTTATTATTCTGCAACCTTCTCATCTGAAATGGTTTTCCTTTTTTTTT